GTTTTCCTTGAAGAGCAATTGACCATCTATTTTCAAAAGGAGTGTCGAAGTAAAATATTTGTTTTGCTTAGGATGCCAAAATGAATGGTTCATTAATATAAGTTTCCTTGTGAAGGTCAACTTATTTGAATCATAACTCATCAATTTGTACATCAGCGTTATTGTCAAATCACTTGCATTTAAATAAAAGCACTTTAAATACAACATAATCAGTATCCTAAATCTCCTAAATGACCCCAAAGTATGGTTTATATTCCATTATAGGATTCTTATTTTTAGAATTAGAGAAGTATACGGATTCAGCTTCAACCATAACTCTACTATTTTGCATTGTACTACGATCATCCTTTGATTTTGTATAAAAGAAAGTTTTTACTAATGTCGTATGCAGTCCAAGTAATTATACTAAATTTAAGCATGTATGACATTCATTTAATTGTCTCAGATGCATTCCCATCATTATAAATCCTTTCATTCAACCAATTTATGAAACTCTTGTTATGCTCTTTCAACAATCAATTATCACTCATCCAGGGAAATATTTACTTGATAAGTATTTTATGAGCCAATAAGTAAGGTTGAACTTCATCAACATTATTCAATATATACAAATGTGCTTAAAGAATGACATCTCGAGTCATTGATTTAACATTTAAACCTTGAGTACATCTACATTCATATCTTCCATCATGAAGAGACCACATTATATAATATTGACTAATTCCATCACAACATAGGTGATTGAATGTTGCTTTCTTTTCAAAAAATTGATAAAAAGATTTAATTATTGTTAAGAAGTTTTCTTTCCACGAATTCAAGAAATTCAACAACTCCTTTCTCATGAATCATATTTAATATATTAACTTTCATCCAACTACGATCCATAGTACTTTCTGAAATTAAAATCAAAATCCTTGTAAAATCATTCGTCGTGGACAAAAACTTTATTAAGTTCAAAATTTTACTAAGTCACATTATCAAAAATAAAACAATGCTAAGTCATAATAACAACAACATATAACATTTTCAAAAACACAAAATAATCTCAATCTCACCCTCAATTACAACAACATATAACATTAGTAACATTGTTAAGTCACAACAACTAAACAACAACCACAACACCACAAAAACAACAATCTCAATTTCAATAAAACAACAAAAGCATTAACAATAAACATATTACTTATCTCAACAAAAAAACATAACATTCAATTCAAATATAAACAACAATGACAACAATAACAACAATAATAACATTAAAACTCTAGGATTTAAGGTCTCGACAACAACAACAACAACCATAACAACAAAAAACAAAACAACAACAACAACCATAACAACAAAAAGCAAAACAACAACAACAACCATAACAACAAAAAACAAAACAACAACAACAATAACATTGTAGCATGAATATTGGTGAAATATTTTGCGTACCGAAAATGTGAAAAAGAATTCAAGAAAATGAATTTTATGTACCCTTCTTGCGAGTTTCTTGTTTCTTTTCCTTGCTTCATGCTATTTGGGAAAGATATGATAAAGGTTAGTGAAGAAATGGTGATTCGTACATTTATGAATATAGATTTTCACTATGGTGATGTTCTGTTTTAAAGGGTTTTCACAAGGGTGTTGTTCCGCTCTGAAGGAAAATAAATTACAACTTGGTTTTAATTAAAAGGAAAAACTCTCACCGTGGTTACTATTATCAGCGCTGGTAATAGCTTATTTTAACCATTATTATTTTTTGCAACCTGGAGAAACGTTATACATATTTGTCTATAAAAGTTTTACATGTTCATTCACCTTTTTCTTAAACTTAATTCATTTTGCCTCCAAACTTCATATTCCATTCAAAAACTCTACACGTTCATTCGCCTTTTCACAATACATAATTTTTACATGTTCACAAACTAGAAAAAAACAATTTCTTATTATGTTGTTGTATCACTGATTTTGAAAGTTTAGGCTTTGAAAATGCTAAAACAATATACTAAAAAACTTGGTTTGAAGATTAATGTTTAGTTTCACTTTATCAAGTAAACAACATGCTTGAACCTTGACATTGATTATCAACGTCAACATTTTCAAGATAATAAAAATTTGAGAAGATATTGCAACACAAAAATGGCTTTAAAATGAATGAAAAACAAAACTCTGTGTTGAGATTCAAAACATGTTTTTGAGGGATATTTTTTCACGGTTGAAAATTTTGATCTTGGTAAAATGTTATTTAATTTTAATTTATAAAAAAATGAAACACGCCACATTTTACTATAGTCGGATAATCTAACCTAACTGAAATGTTATTTAATTTTGATTTAAAAAGAAAAAGAAATTGTTTATTGTGCAATTTGGTAAACAACCTCTGATCTATCAACTTTGAGTGAAATTGAGTAACTTGCAGGGTCGACCATACAAATCCTAGGACATGTGTTAAGTTTAAAAGAAAATCTAAGTTGAACTCCACGTTCGACTATAAAACTTTGTAAAGTAAAAAATAACTTGGAAATTGACAAGGCTGTAAAATAAATGGTGCGATTCTTAAAGCGTCGAAAGTAAAAGGCAAGATGTAAAAAACTTTGAAAATAAAGGCAATGATGTAAAGGCTTGAATTTGATAAAAGTGCAAGAAAGCAAATGCGTAAGATGTTGATAGTAAAAGCAACAATGTAAAAGGTTTGAATTTGATAAAAGTGCAAGAAAATAAGTGTGAAGACAAATATTTAGAAAAATGCAGGAAAGTAACAGTCGAAAGCAATTAAAAAGAATTTTAAATAGCAAGTTAAAATAAAGTGCAGAAGAAAACCAACTGAAAGTAAAGATTAAAAATAAAGTTTCAAGGAGAAAATGTAAATACGAAAGATAAAGTTCAGGAAAAGGCATTTAAACATGAAAGATAAAGTTTAAAGGAGAACATGCAAGATAAAGTGCAGAATAAACAACAACATATAAATGATAAAGATACATAAATTGCATTGATGAAAAGAAATGGTGTTACATCACGTACATTCTCTCGAACTCGTTTCTCTACATGCGGGTACTTTGAGTAATTTGGAGTAACTTGTACAAGACCAATGAACATCTTTATTCTATGGAAATAACCTCTATTTATAATGCTAGAAAATAACTACTAAGTGACAATTGTTGCTTCAAAACGTGTCTCTTAGCGCTTTTTCTTGACTTCCACCGTTCCCACATTCGCTAACTGCTCTTTTGAAATTCAAATATTAGGAACTTCCTTCCAGCCTTAGTGGTAACTACAACGCGCTTCTTTCAGCATTCTCACGGTCGAAGGACTTTCCAACACTTAGCAATTTTCCAGAGGTTTTCACAACCTCTCTTCGACTTAGGCTTCACCAAAAACTGGGTTAAAGCTTTCTTATGATTAAAAATAATTCTTTGACTTGAGATGACTCTGATTTTGCTGGCGTCGAAAATGAGAGACAACAGAAACACACCACATTTTACTTCGGTTGCTATTTTTAACTGAAGTTAAATGTGTCTTGAAAGTTAAGAATAAAGAAAGACACATAATTGAACATATTTTACCACAAAGGATACTTTGGCCAAAGTGAAAGTTCGTTACCATTTTGTAGTATGTGTTTAGATTGGCGGCAGAAATAATTGATTTTGACATTATTGAGTTTGATATAATTGATTTTAATAAAATTGAGTTTAACAAAATTGGTTTATGTTTATATATATTTGTGTAAAACTGAGTTGAACAATAAATTTTAATTTAAAAATCACGTTTAAACTCAAAAGTTATAAATTGTAACTTAATGTAGAATCAATCCCAGAGACATAATTAACCACTCTAGAATCAATTTTACACCTCTAGAATTGTTTTTGCACCTTTCAAAAGTCAATCCAAACATGTTACTTAGAAACTTAGAGATAATTTTAGAACATTCTTGAGAATTTTCTCAATTAAAATTGCATTTTACAACTCCTTTTAAATCATTTTAAATATGCTAACAAGAAAAATTTAAAATATTGTTGTCTATCATTCGTACATTCTCTAATTTTAATATTATCCATTAACATCATTTAATTAAATAGAAGAATATTGGATTAAATATGCTTATGGTTCTCCCAAATATCTCAAATTTCATTTTTAGTCTCTCAAAATATTTCTTTCAAAGAATGATCCTTTTAAAAAATTCCATCCTCAATTTTGATCCCTAACTAAAATTGTCGCTAATTCAGTCTTTAAATAATAAATTATCGTAATTTAGTCGTTAAGTTGTAAAAATCATCCGTAAGTTGTAAGAGGGACCAAAGTGGAAAATTTTATAAGAAATACTTTTAAAAGAAATATTTTAAAAAACAAAAAATAAATTTAAGATATTTTAAAATATTTTTAAAATTTTAAAATTAAATTTAAAATATTTAAAATGATCACAAACATATTTAATCTAAAAATATTTTACACATCATAAGCTTCTTTAAAATTAAAATGACTTATATTTTTCTAAGAGACTAGCCAATCCAAGTTATTTTTTCAGTTAATATGACAAGTGTTTTAAAAGTTTTTGATTGATAAAGTGAATAGGACCATCTATCATTTTTCTAACTTTTAAATGTATTAGAGTTTATACTTCCTTATTCTTTTTATTTTTCCTTTTCTTATTTAATTTATTTCCTTTATTAAAAAAATAATCGAAAACAATATTAAATTGAATCACTTCGGATAAGTGAATTATTAGGCTTAATAGTACCAAACCTATCCATGATTAACTAATTAGCTATTAATCAACTAGACATATTCACTTTACACAAAGCCTATGACAAGTCTTGAAATGGAAAAAGAAAGTAAGTATGTTTAGAAACTAAAACCCTTCCTAGTTCAACCCAACAAAACAAAAGATGATGGGTCAAACTCATACAAAACATTCAAGACCCACCAAATCACGTTTTTAATTCCCATATTATCTTAGACCCCACTGTTTCCCAAATTTAGAAAATGACCAAATCACCCCTCAGAACACCGTGGGATCATTGACGGAAAACATCAAACATCCTATGCGCTGGAGTAGCAGCGGAAGCCCACGGGCCCATATGTACGGCCCGATGATGGGCCTGACCGATAGCATCAACACCGTTGGATGGAACAGCCACGCGCTCACAAGAAGGGCACATAGTAAGAGTAGTTGGTTGAGTCATTTGCATATAAAATTGAGGGGAAAGTTTCAGTGCCCTAAGCTCTTGAACTTCCTTATGTAGTCTTCTATTTTCATCCGTTAGATTTTCACAACACCTTTTCAACACTTCACAATCAACCTCCGTTTGCTTCAGCTTTGTCCTATAACATCATATAACAAAAAAAAATTAAATATTTCATATTTAAATTCATTTTTTGTAATTAATAAAATTAAAAAAAAATATTTTTCTCGATTTAAAGTAACTAACCTAGCTCTTCTATTCTGAAACCAAACTTCAACTTGTCTAGGACGAAGCCCAAGTTGCTTTGCAAGTGCCAACTTTTGCTTCTACAAAAGAAAATTAGTCTAAATAAATAAATAAATAAACAAGAAATTATTAATATAATTAAAATAATAAAAGAGATTAACGGTAGATTAATTACGGGATTAAGGGTATTGTGTTGTTTGAAAGTTTCTTCAAGAATAGCTGATTGGTTTTTAGAGAGTCTAAGTTTTTTCCTAGCGGTTTCAGCGTCTTCGTCGTCACTGATATTTCCTCTATTGTCCACGTCGTGATCTTCTCTCTCGCTTCGTTTTCCGCTGATACTTGAAACTGTGCTGTTCGGAGATGAAACTCCGGTTTCTTCTTCTTCGTGTTCGATAACTGTAGATGGCAAGCGATTCACGTCGATTCCTCGTAGGAATCGTCCGTCTTCGTTTCTGCATGTGTTAGAGTTTCGATCTGTAGGTAGAAAAGTTTATTCCATGTTAATATGATGTTGAACTATATAGAAATTATAACTAGATCTGGAAAATGGAAGAAGAATACATACCTGAAGAAGAGATGAGATTGAGCGGGTGAGGTTTGTGAAAGAAGCTCAAGGTTAGATTCAAAGCCAGGTCTTCCTTTTCAACCATTGTTATATCTATGAAGAAAGTGAGAATGAGAAAAGGAGTTGGTTTTTATTTTTCTAGAGAGAGAGAGAGGGTGTGGTGGTTTTGGTTTGGGAGTGGAAGGAAGCGTGTGAGAGGGGAATAAATAGAAAGAGGAAGGAAATGGGTGGGAGAGAGGTCGTTCAATCATGACTTTATGTGAGCAAGGGGAAGTTATATCAATCATGGCATTTGCCCTTCAAATAATGCACATTTGTTTCTCTGTCTGTCCCCTCTTCATTATGGAGTATATATCTTACCCTTACTTTTTAATCTTTGACCATTTGGTAAAATATTAGTGTTTCTTTTTCAAATAGGTGAACACAATAATATGGCAAATGTTGATAAGAATAATGATAGAAAGACCTTTATCACATAAGTTTTAACTCACTTTTATATTGGTTAGTTACCCAATTATGTTACTTGCATATAAATAGTGAGTTGGAATGTTTTTTAAAAATTTACTAGTATTTATATTCTATCTAAATATTAATATTAATAACATCTTTATATTTTTTTATTAAAAAAATTTGAAAGTTACATTTATAGATAATTAAACAATAAAAAAAATTGGTGGAACCCACATTTTTGAAAATGTGTTTCATTCATTCATGTTTCTATTTAAATTAAGGGATTTGTTCCCATTCAAAGGTTCGGTTCAATCTTGATAGCTGAAAACAAAAGGATTATATAAGTGGATTTTTTTCATTCACTCGTATGTTATTCAAATTTTAATTGATTCAAAAATAAATAAACTTTATTCAGATAATATTGATGCAAATCTTATTATTCATAACTTTCTTGTTGAATACATAATTACATAATGTCTATTTCCATTGTGTCTTGGTCCTTCTTAGACGACTCTCATTCATCAATGCTTTTTAAGGTTGTTGAGCCTCATAAACAACAATAAAGAAAAACCTTTATTAAAATAATGAATAATGTCTGCAACATTTCACTTAGTCATCTACCAACACAATGAGTGAAGGGTGATCGACTAGACATTATGATTTCAGGAGAAGAATACATATTGAGGTTGAAGCCTGCAAACATAACTTACATGGTCAGGTAGTGTTGTCCAAAGGTTCATATCCATTTACACTTGATATCCTGAAACTCAAACACATTGATCTATGAAAATCTACAGGTTAATGAGGTATCATATCTTTAGGAAAAGGTTACTTTGAATTCTCATTTTCCTCTTTGGAGGATGTTAGAAAACTTAGGTCGATAAACACATGGAATATCAACCCTGGATTCCGCAAGCTCTTTCCCTGGAGCAAAAGACTTTAAACTAACATATCTGAAGCAAACTTCGAATCAGAGTTCAATGAGAATATATGGTTTATCTCAAGAGCACTTGGGACCTAGGTTTGTATTTGTGGTTGAGAGCGGCACTGAAAATTCTTTCTGCATAGATTCAACAATTATCAAAGGATGTTTTGAGAGGCCATTTGGTCATTTTATGAGAATCTTTGTGGGCATGAAACTTGCTAAAGAGTTGAGGTACAAGATGTTTGTTGAAAGGAAGAAAATATGTTTTTTTTGTAAAACTAGAGTAGAAGAATCTCCTGGATTTTTGTTACATGTGCAACATAGTTGGACATACTTTTGAAACTTGCAAGAGAATGAAGGTTAAGGACATCCCACATTTGGAGAATGATAGGAAAAATAATGAACCTAAAATATCTTACAAACAAATGGATAACATGACTTTTAACTAAGGTGGGGTGCACATTGAGAAAGGTAAAGCTAGAATGGTTGTGGAAAAAATCCAACCAGAAGTCGAGTTCTAGATAGTTTCTCATGTGGGAAAGTCAAGTGGTATCAAAGAAAATGCTATCAATATTCAAATCAAGGGGGAGGAAATGATCCCAGAAACTCATATTAACAATAAATCAATAAACCTAAAACAAAAAGAGTCTTTAGAAAAGCAGACAAATCATGAAGGAATCTCAATAAATTTTGATTGCTCTGTTGAGTTTTAGTTTGTTGATGCAACATATTTTAAGCATAAAGACTTTCCACTTTATAACATTAGAATGACAAAAGTGGTGTTGAAGGACATGGAGTTAGGGGTGGTCACACGGGTGTCACCCGGTCCGAACCAGCAAAAACCGTAGAATTAAAAGGAAACATTTGGTTTGGATCGGTTGAGCGGGTAAAGCGGTTTAGCCAACCGGTTGTTTCTATGTTAAAGTGGGTCAATTTGGATTACTGGACATGGTTCATTCATATCTAAACCCGTCCGAAAATTAGTCACATGTTATCTTTTCTCTCTCTCCCATAATTATTTCATTTATATAATATTAATATTAGTCACTTGATATCTTCTTTCTCTCTCTCTCTCTCTCTCTCAAATTTGAATAAAACAAAACCCTATTTTCTTGCTACTGTTGTGCTGCTTCATCTTTGTTTCTCGTTCCTTGTGCTTCTTCAACCTTATTTTTCTTAGCAATATTCGATCTTCATCCTCAATTATAATTACACTCTGTTCAAGCACTTTATCCATATACATTTCAACGCTGCTCTAAAAAAATTTCAACTGCGTATATAATATAGATATAAACAGTTTTCCATCTTCTTAAGATGATCATGTTCTGATTTTGATTTCATATGAGAATATGAATAGTCTATTTTTGCTTTTGAGCATATTATTTTGGGTTTAAATTAAAATATGATAATTTTATTCTTCTTAGTTTGTTTTATTTTGAGTTTAAGTTTTATCATTCCGAGATTGTTTTTATATTCAATTTTTTTGGACATTTTGTGACTAAAGTTCATGAGCTTTTTGAAGCTTTGTTGATAGTAATTTTTAACTCTAAAACCAATAGAAAACACCTAATAATCCGCAAAAACCGCAAAACTACAACCCGTCGGAACCAAAGCCGAAAACAAACGAAATTGGTTTGGTTTAGTCTAATCGTCGGTTTGATTGAATTTGGATTTTGAGCCTTAATCCAACCCTAACCGACCAAAAATTGTCCATCCCTACATAGAGTTTTTGAGAAACTATTGGGAAAACATGGCAGACCAGGAATTAGAGGGCAACTCTATGGACATAAATGAGGATTTTCAACCAATTAGATCTAGGAAGAAGAAAAAAAAGAATCAAAGCAAAAGTACACACATAACCAGATCACTATCTGGTAAGAACAAGTCTTCCTCATGAAATGTGTTTTTTGGAATGTGAAAGGTATTGACAACTCTCCTACCAAACCGGATATAAGAGGATTATCATCAAACATAAGCCTTAGTTTATTTTATTTTTTGTTGAACCTTGCATGTGTTTTTCCTAGTTACCCTCAAGTTGGCTTAGGAGACTTCACCTTAAGCTTTTTCGTGTGAATAACATAGTAGGTCCGGGCCCTAATCTCTAGTGTTTTTATGAGTCTAGCCATACCCCATATGTTTTTGACATTAAGGAACAACATATACCTTTTTCCATCAAATTCCAAGATAAAACTGTTGGGGTGGCTACAATTTATGCTTATACTAACTATGTTACTAGAAGATTGCTTTGAAATATTTTATCCAAAACCTAAGAAACTAAGGACATATCCCGATGCTTCATTCGAGATTTTAATACTATTTTAGGGGATCAAGAATACTTTAGATCACACCAACCAGATAGACTCCCTATGGAAGGCTTCTCCACCCATACTAATTGTAACCACATAAATAAAATACACTTGGAATAATGGTAGGAGGGGTGGAGAAACCACTAAAAAGGCTATATAGGTCTATATGTAACCATGAATGAATCGATGTATGCACAAGCATTTCTTACACAACACTCATCAAAACTAACTCTGATCACTACCATGTTTTATTATATTTTAACTATAGCAACAATAAGTTTTTATCAAAATCCAGGTTCCTTCAAATGTGGAGTAAGCATCCTAAATGTTTAGATGTAATCAAATCCTCTTGGTCCAATAACATGGTTGGTTATCCAATGTATATTTTTAATAAGAAGCTTCAAACTCTTAAAACCAAATTGAAGATATGGAATAAAGAAACATTTGGAAATATGCAGGACAATGTGAAACAAGTTGAGCTTAACCTTTAATCTATTCATGATTAATTACCTCCATGTTATATAATGACTTACTTGTAGATCAAGAAATGCTGGCTTAATTGAATCTTGACCATGCTCTTAACATTGACGAAATCTTCTAGAGAAACAAGGCTAGAATTATTCACCATTTAGATAGGGACATGAACACAATTTTTTTCCCATAGAATGGCAAAAATTAAGAATGCAACAATGTTGATTCACTCTCTCAAAGTGGATAATGAAGTTTCCATAGACAAGGGACATATAACCAACCATGTGGTGGAGCACTTTCATCATTTGTTTAACAGTGTTTATGTTTTGCGGATTTTTAGCTTGGTTGAAGAGGTAAAGTTGTTTCTGAGCACGCAAATAATTTTCTGGAATTGTTTCCTACAATGGAGGTGACTCAATATTTTGTGTTCAATCTTAAGAAAGATAGTGCATCAGGCCCTGATGGATTTGGTCCATACCTTTTCCAAACTTATTAGAATATTATCAAGTAATATGTTCATAATGCGACCCTTTAATTCTTCAAAGACATCTAGATCACCTTCAACTACAAGTCTAACACTTTAGTCCTCGTACCTAAAACTCGGGGAGCCGACAGAATTGAAAAATTTAGGATAATTTCATTGGTAAGTTACAAGCATTAAAATCACCACAAAGATCTTAAATACATATTGGTTATAATCTTGACTTATATAGTTTATCAAGAACAAAAAACCTTCATCCATGGAAGGAACATTAGGGATTACATTCTCTTAACCTCCAAAGTGGCTGATCTCCTAAAGAGAAAAAAAACTTATAGAGGGAACATTGCAATGAAGGTTGACATCTCCAAGGAATTTGACACTCTCAACTAGGACTTCATAATCATGGTGCTTCAAAGGTTTGGGTTCAACACTACTTTTTGTAATTGGATTAG